TTTTTTTTTTTTTTTTTTTTTTTTTTTTTTTTTTTGCTCATGATACTGGGGATTGAACTCGGTCTGGCCTTGTACATGCTAGTAGGCAAATGTTTGACCACTGAGCTGCATCCTCAGCCCTTCTTATTTTAAAGCATAGTCTTGCTCAACTGCCTAAGCTGGCCTAAAACCTGAAATTCTTCTACCTCAGCCTCTCAAGTAGCTGGGATTCCAAACATGTGCCACCATGCCTAGTGTTAAGCATCTCTAAGCAGGGCACAACATTAGTTCTGTTAGGAAGGTAGCTCTTAACAGCAAATGAGCACGACAGGTTAAACAGGATGGCAGAAGGGGCCAGGAGGCCATTCATGGAGATCTATCCAGGAAAGACAATGAACAAAAGCATAGGAAGGAGAGACAAAGCATTTGAGACTAATGCAGCAGTTATTTCAAGAGCCAGTAAATGGGGTGCAGTGGCACATGTCTCTAATCCCAGCACCCTGGGAGCCTGAGGCCGGAGGATCACAACTTTGAGGTCAGTCTGGCCAACTTAGCAAGGCCTCCTCTTAAAAAATAAAAAGGGCTGAGGATATAGCTAGGGACAGAGAACCCCTGGGCTGAATCCCCAGTACCACCCCCCACATACACACGCACACACACACGCACACACACACACACACACACACACAGAAGAGCTGGTAACAATAGAGTATAAAGGAGAGGTAGCATGTGACTCTAGTTAGTCTTCCTAGGGGTCCTACATGGATAATAAAATCACTAACTGACCTAGGAATCATGGGAAAGAGTGGGTTTGAGGGAGGAAACACTGAGTTCTCTTAGGAGCTTTAGGTTCTCTGTGTGAAAACATCCCATTTCAAATTTGGAGCTGGAAACTAACATGTATATGTTAAGCCTAGAGTAAAAGGGTTAAAGCCACATGACAAAGACAAAAAATAAAAAAGGAATCAATGGGTCCCACCTCAGGGCTTCTGACTCAGGCCTGAGAACTTGTATTTGCAGCAAGATCCTAGGCAACATTGCTGGTCTGGGGGCTGCACCTGGGGAATCTCTGGACTAGACAGTGTCACTACTAAAAAAGGTGGAGACTGAAAATCCATGATCAAGGTGACAGTCCTGAACAACATGAACACCTAAGGCAAGTAGAAAGCAGAAACCAGTAAAGGAAAAGGAGAGAGCTTCCAGAGAACGGGATGAGACCTGGGCAAGTGGGAGAGGCATATCAAACTCTGTCCAGCAGCTGAACTGAAGTCTGGGAACACATAACTGAATGAAGTCATCAGGAGGTCACTGAGCAGCTCAGTGAAGCGGTGTGGACTAAGAGGGAAGGAATGTAATGAAGTGAAAAAGTACAGACTACACCGGAAAAATCTGCCATAAAGAGTAGAAGAGGCAAGAGAAGCCCGAGAAGGCAGAACACTTGGGAAAGATGACTTAGGATGAAAGACCTGAGCACACTGAGGGCCGCAGGGAGAAGACAGAGAGGGGAAGACATGGAAGGCACGGGAAACGGCACCACAGCTGACACAGCCAGGTCCCATGGAGCAGTGTGTAGACTGCAAGAGGCTCCATCAGTCTCAGACAGAAGTGTAAGCCCTGATGTGGCAGGCTGAAAGCTGAAAATAAGCACCAAGCAGCAATCAAGCACGCCGGGAGGGACCATGCCTGGAGCCCCTGTTTGCTCTGCAAGTTTGTCTTCAAGACTTAGTGAGGGAACTTCTTCAACAAGAGGAAAAACACGTAATACTAGATGGGAATATGGATCCACACAAAGAAAGAAGAGTGCTGGGAATGCCAATGTACATGGGAAAATACAGAAGACACCATTTTCTCATGTTTAATCTCCTTTAAAAAGTAACTGTTTAGCTGGGTGTGGTGGCTCACGCGCACGGCTGTAATCCCAGCACTCGGGAGGCTGAGGCAGGAGGATCCCTGTGAGTTCGAAACCAGCCTGGGCTACACAGTGAGTTCCAGGTCAGTCTCACTACATAGTGAGACCCTGTATCAAAAAACCAAAAAAACAAAACAACAAAAAAACCCCAAAATTAACTATTTCAAACACAAATAATAACAATGTAAATATAGGGTACATAGCAAAGTAAAATGCATGAGAAAAAGAACATGGAAGAAAAAGTGGTAGTCCAACTCACATAAACCTCTTAATTCTATGTGTAAAAATAATATGTATTATATTATTATTATTATTTGAGAGTAAACTATGATAAGAATATATGACATAAACCCTACCAAGAGTGGAGTCTGAGTAAAGCTTAGGCTAGCAGAAGTCCCAGGAGAGACTCACAGAACATGTTGGAAGGACAAAGGCTTTAGGAAGTCCAGGGGTCAAGAAATCTGTCTAACCTAATGTTTATCAATTACTAACTGACCACAGAAGTCACTGTGCAAGTTACTGACAACTCACAAAACGAGAGAAATCTATTCAGAGAATGCTAATACTTCTGAGAGATGTTAGTAAGTGTTAAAAGATATCCTAATCACAGTATCATCACAGCTGTGCTTTACTTTAAATGATATATGTAGTCATATATCTAATAAAACATAAATCAGTAACTGTATATTATAAGGTAAAAACTTCATGTTTTGAATTAAGCCGATCTGGGTTTAAATCTCAATTCACCATTTACCTGCATATGAACCCATGAACAAATTAAATTACTATATTTTTTAAACTAGTATCTTATTGTGAGGATTAAATTCTACATAATTTGCATAAAAACTGTACATTATATGTCACATAAAAGAACTGCATGTTATATGCCATGTTATGTATCTATTAAATGAGAACAAATGATGAAGATGTTGATGATAAACAGGGGTCCTTTAAACAGTACACCTCTACTACAGTGAAAATGAAATCCAGGTCTCAAAAGTTCCATCTTAGCCAGACGTGGTGGTACACTCCTGTAATCCCAGCACATGGGAGGCTGAGGCAGGAGGATCACTTCAACTTTGAGGGCAGCCTGGGCTACATAGCAAGTTCAAGGTCAGCCCATTATACATAGATCCTGTCTCAAAAAGAAAATGGTTCCACCTTATGTGAGGAACACAGATGGAGAGAATGTATTTGAATGGAATTTAATAAAAGATGGATTAACTGCAGTGCTCAGCTGAGAGGTTACTTACTGAGATTTGAAAAGGATTTTACTACCATGCAATGCACAGACTTCCAAAGATAGCACTTCATGGAGTTCTGGAACTGTCATTACATAAGGTGGAAGAGCCCTTACCCAAAGGGCTGGTTGAAACCTAAGGTAAATTTCTCACTGAAATGTTGATACCACTGTAACAACCATTATTGGCTGATACTTATGCTGATCACTTTATCAACTAACTCTCACTGAAGAGAATTTGAACAAGTAGAGGGGAAGTGGTAGTCTTGCCAGGCAGTGAAAATCAGTCTCTGTAGGGACAGTACAAGACTATTCAGAATGAATGCAAAACTTCAGGTCCAACAGCAGAGTAGAGGGTTTTGAAAGCTAGACAGAGAAATTCCAACTTGATATGTAGGAGAAACCACTGTTTGTCTTATGCCTGACATCACAAAAACAATGTTTAAGGAAGACTGGTCTTTCAGTGACATTAAATTTGCACTGACGAGGGGCTGAGTCAGGGAGCTTTATTACTTGTCTGGATGGCTGAGGTGAGACTCTAGACTACAGTGGCAAGCCATGCTGGTCACAGGAATGGATGAACAAGTGAGTCATGTTAACATAGGTCTGGTCAATTTCTAGTCAAAGAGGAGAAGAGCCAGGAGGAGTCAGATGGTTCCATGGGTTTAAGGATGGGTGACGGGGAAATGCTGGCTCAGGACCACTGAGAGGGGCCTATAAGGGAAATGTGTTCTTGGGCATTCTTAAAGCAGACAAAAATTTAAAAGGTCAGTAGAAATTTCAGATATGAAATTAGATTTCTGCGGAACTTACCTTTATATAAAAATTTCTTTTAAGTAAATATACAGAAGTAATTTATATTAAATGTTAAGGATATGCTGTGACAGGTTTTTTAACCCAGGTAAAATTACTTCTTCAATTATACTGATCTAGGCTAGTCGTGGCAAACCTACAGTAGGACTAAATTAAAATCATCTCATTAAATGTAATTCATACAAAAATTCCTGTGAACCTAAGTATTATAATTCCCATTTTATAGATAACAAAATATATAAGGCAGATTTGGAAGGGATCAGCAGAATAACAGCTTTTAATAAAATGAGTTGATTCAAGCAATGGCTATCCCTAATGAGTCTAATTTATCCATGGCAACTGGCAAAAGCAACAACAAAACAATAGGTGATAGCAAGTAAGTCCAAGGCAAAGGACATTTCAGATCTGAAATAACATTTTTCCATAGTAGTCTTAAAACTTATTAATATCTGACTGTCAAAGTAATATCTAATGATAAGATTATGAAACCACCCTTTCCATAAACACGTGCTATAGACAGAGACCAGGGAATGTAATTTCTATTCGGTCTAGAAAAACAGGGCTGGAGAGAGAAATGGATGGCATGGGAAGACAGACTTCTTAAAAATGAGCCCTAAGACTACTGGTACCGAAGAGTAAACAAAGACACATATCTAATTCTTACCATTAATGACTGGCGTGTAAACAACAATCCCAACCAAGTTTGGATCAGATACAGTTGTGTCCAGAATAAGGCCCCCGATGCTGAAAAAAATAAAGTTACATAATTTATGGAAGGGGAGAGTACTTCAAGTTGTTCTGTACATACGTATATATACCCCTACTTTGTAAAATAAAATGTTCACATATTTTTAAGTGGAGTAAAAAGAAAAATATTCAAAGTAAAAATCAATGTCAGTTAAAATCAAAGCTGGAAACTAAACATGACTTAAATTATAGTCCCAGAGGTCAGGACTCTGAGCTATACTACTTGGGAAAAGAAAGAGTATATGCTTTAAATACATTTGAATGTCTGAAAGGACCATGCAAAATTATTAACCATGTTTATTTCTAGGTAGTGAGATTGACTGGAAATTAATGATAACTATAGTCTGATCAGTTTAGAGCCTGCTTATTAATTTTTTAGGTACTTAATCTATTAATCTTCTAATTTAAAAAATAATTATAAAAGAATATCTTTTCATATTTGAAGTAACTAAGGCATTAAACAGACTTTGGTGTTGGGGTTGCTGTTTGTCTTCCGGGACAGAGTCTTACTGTATTGTCCAGGCTGGCCTTGAAAATTGTTATGCAGTACGGGATGACAGTCATGACCCACAACACCTAGCAAAGGGATGATTTTTTTTCATCCCATATTTAGGATGTGTCTTATCATTGGTAAATTAAAATAATAACTGCATCTGGTATGGTGACATATGCCTAAAAGTGCTTAGGAGGCCGAGGTAACCTGGGCTATGTGGGGAGATCCAGGTCATCCGACCATAGAGCTAATATGGAAAAGTCTAAAAATAACATGCAGCTATTTTCAATATAATACAGTGGTAAGCCATGCACTCTCACTGTGTCAGTGGAACTTGAAGACTTTTCTTAAGTTTTCCAAACAATTATTAACTGACTAACTTCATTCTGTTGGTCTGAGTTATAAAACATGGCCAGTTTCAATATTCCACAGGATACTGTTGCATAAATCCTCCAGGAAAATGTGACCTGCATGACAGCAAAATGAACTACATGCTATCAAAGAATGGGACTGTCAAAGTATCAGATCAAATGTTATTACTAACTGATAGTTAACATTAGGAAATTATTGTTTATTAATTACTTAGCAAAATACAATTTAAAGTCCCTATTATGGAGGTATACTATAAAGTTCCAAAACAGTCTCCCTTAGAAATACTTAGGGTTTTTGTTTCTTTTGCAGTGCTAGAGATTGAAGCCAGGTTCTCCTGTATGAGACAAGGCTCTAGCACTGAGCAATACCCCCAGCTTGAATTATTTAGTATTTTAAGCCCAAATTTAAAAAAGTAATCTAATTATTTCAAGAACAAAGTACTTATGAGTCAAAGAATAAAATCTCCCTTCCAAAATGCATAGATCATGCTATGGATACATGAACACTTATTAAAAATACATTTAAAATATTTTTGTTAGTGAGGTAAAACCTATTACAGAAAAAATTACAAAATCAAATAAAAAGAAGAAAATAAAAACTAATTCTAGCTACATCAGCAGAGCTCATTAGATTGGCATATTAAGAGATACAAATAACACACATAGATACACACACACACACACACACGCACATATATGACAGTATATATTTTAGATCCATATACAGCAGGACCTCAGCTAACAAGCACTTATAAACAGAAGCATTTGGCAAATTTTGTTTTGTTTGCAAACTCTGCACTGGGTGATGCACATGATCATGGCAATCTTTCCCACAAATGTGGCCATCTTCTCCAAAATCATAGAACAAACTGTTTGTGAACTGAGGCACCAATATATATGATATCCATAATATGACCTTCCAGATATTTTATTATTTACTTTTTATTTCAATTGACAAAAAATGTCTAATTTATCCTGTACGACATGATGCTCTGAAGCATGCACGCATTGTGGAATGGCAAAATCAAGCTAGCTGACAGGCATTGCATCACAGTACCGCCCCTCAGTGTGTGGGGAAAGCATTTCAGATCTATTCTGAGCTGTTTTCAAGGATGTGATGTGTTCTTATTAACTACAGTCACACCATGTTGTACACCAGACCTCTATAACTCACCCCATCTAATTACAATTTTGTATGCTTTCACTGACATCTCTCTAAACCCAGGCCCAGATATTTTTTAATATGTGTATCTTTAAAAGTAAAAATTGAATCAAGATGTATGTCATTTTCTTTCTATTAAATCTTATTTTTAATCAAACCAACACTAGACAAAGTGATAGTACCACAAAGTTTATAATAAAATAGGAGTCGCTGATCTATTACCAGATTCTTGCTCTTGCAGGAATCTTCTTCTACTCTTTGGCTGTTTCCTCTGACATTTAATTCTGTGATTAAGCGACATGCTTACCCTGCTGTTTCTCATTTTTCATGTAGACCTTACCCAAGGACTGTTGACTGCGGCAGATGAGGATCTGGTCTTGTGCTCCTCCCTTCATACTTTAGACCTCACATAGCCCTTCCTCCTGCCCCCCTGCCTGTGTAGTTAAATCACAATTGATGGTGAAATACTTGGGTTGATTTTTTTGTATCAATGGAATATATATTCACAGCTTAGCCACAAAGTATATTTGATATCCTCAATGGACTTTTTTCTTTGCCTCTTCTCCACCTTTTTCAGGCATCTATTACTAATCTAGCCTCAAGTTTGGTGTAATGGCTAATGATATGCCTCTCAGTATAGCAAAAGTGTCCCATAGCCAGTAGATTCCTGTTTTCACTTCTCAGAGTCACCTTTCCCTCGGGCACGGTGCTCCTGGTGGCAGGGCTGGCTGGGCTGCTGTCGGCTGTCACCCTGCCCCTTCTTCCATTCTCCACTGCTGGACCCTGATCTGTGAACTATCCTAGGACCCTGTCCAATCAATATGACAGAAAAAAGCCACCTGTAGTCATGGGATGGGATTCTTTACTACTCTGTCATCTTCTATCTTGATTTATGTCCTCACTTTGACAGAACACACTTATTATCAGATTTAAATGACAGAGGAAATACATTTGATGAGATCTTGCTTGTCTGAAAATTTATTTAATCTTGTCTAATACTGTGACTGTATTTTATGTCCAAAATAATTTTCCTTCAGACTTTGTAGAAATTGATTTTGGTGTTGCTATTAGATGTCCTTCTTATTCCTAGACCTTCACAGGTAACTTCCTCTGTTTTTCCTCTGGAAGCTTTTGTGGCTTATGGCATGCCCTTCAATCTGGAAACCACATCTTCAGTTCTGGGGAATTTGCCTACATTGATTCTTTGATAATTTTTTTCTGCTTGTCATATGCCTCCACCTGTCCACCTATTTTCTATTCAATACTCCAGGAGAGTTCTTCACCTTTATCTTCCAACTTTTCTACTTGTTGTTCTGCTATTTATTTAAATTCCTCAAAGCTCTTCTTTTTCAATTTCTCATTATAATATCCTGTCCTTTCATTATCGATGCTATCTCTGAGGTCCTCTCTGATGACAATAACTGTAGGTTAGTTTGCTGAGGTTTTTCAGCCACCTCTGCCCTTCCTTTGAGTACCTGTTCTGTCCATCTTCACACTGGAGGCCCACCCCAAATGTCTGATGCTCCTCTGCTGCCTGCCCCTCCTTCCAGAGCACTGGAAGTATACTCGGAGCTCTTGGTGTAGACAGGTAGAGGTGGTCACCAAGTGCTGTCACACTGAGGAACAATTAGGTGGGTGTGAGGCTCTTGCACTAAAGGACCAAGCAGGCACAGCCTCTAAAGATCTTTGCTTTTGCGCTGCTGAGTTTCCCCAGAGGAATTGTCTAATTTCTGCCTGGGGTAGAAATTTGCCTGCCAGTGCTCCATGTATATAGCAAAGGAAGTGGGATAAGGCTCTCATCATCCAGCATGTAGACTTCCAGTTTGTCTTTACATCTTTCATAGAGTGCTTAATCTGCATCCTGGCCTTCACAGGGTCTGGGAACCAATGAAGTAGTCTGCTAGCCTCCCACAGGTCAACCTGCAAAGGCAGAAGGGTGCTTGCCCAGGTGCACAGGCTGCAGAACAGCTATAGGGGTCTGATCACTCCTCGCTGAAGCTTCCAACCCATCTTCTTCATCTCAGTTGTCAGAAGAACTCAGTCCTCTAGAGGGTCTGCCTGTCTGGGTGTCTGAGGTTCAGACCAGCCAGCCTCTGACACTGGCTCATTTCCCCCTTTTCTCTTCTGCTCATGTGCTGAGCAACTATCCCATGCCTATTTTCCCACAGTTTTTATATCTCTCACAAGATGTCTTTTCTGCTCCCCTTCTGCCTTTATGATTTTATAGCATTTTCATTCTTTTATAATCATTTTAGTGATTTCAAGGAAGAAGATAAACGTGTCCCAACTTACCATGTTTAACAGGACTTTCATACTCATTTCTAAGTTTCCCTCTTCACCAAACGTACACTGAACAGCTTTTCATGGCAAGAGAAATGCTGCACTGCTATTTTTAATGATGAATTGTATACTTTCAGACTACATTACAGTTTATTTAATCAACACCCGATAGATCTTTAATTGTTCCATTTTAAAATTAAAAACTCAAATATAATGAGGAATCTTGCAATTAAATCTTTTCCATACATCCTTAATTATATGCTTAAATTTCTCAGTGTCTTAGATGTGCAACTAGTCAAATGGCATATACATCTCTAAGGCTTTCTGATATTTACTTGTGCAAGTTGCTATTCAAAATAAGTAATGTCCTTGTCAGGTTATCACCACACACACACACACACACACATCTGAATTTTACTTATCAGGCTGGTAAGGCTTTGGTTGGAGAGAAAATTGAAACTGGTGGCCAATTCAAAGTTTAGTACATCCATTAATTTCAGTAACTCCTATAACTCTGATCCCTTATTACCTGAGAGAATTATTGATTGGTTATATAAAATGGTTAATCCCACCAAAAACACCAGGCAAGTTGTTCCACATGCACATTAGAGACACATGTGCACACAAGTGTACACACACACATAGCCTCTAGTACTAACCTGCTTATGACCATAGCTGTGATGACAGGCTCCCAGCCTGAGTGCAGAACTGTCCTTGTAGCTGGGTGCTTGGCTGCTATTATAATCCAAATAGGAGTAAGAGCCAAGAAAAAGACACCAACTAATGGAGAAATGTAGTAATAGGTCTCTAAAATCAAGAAAAAGGAATAACATTTCAATCTGTCTTCCTCCAAGCAGCAAATCTAAATTACCAACAGTAAAATTTTATCAGGTGATATATTATCAAATATATTAACATTTCTCATATTTTTGATACATTTCAAATTAGTACTATAAGTTTTAAAATTAATGTGGTTAAAAAACAAACACGTTAATTTAACAAACATTTATTATAGCTACATGGCACACATGAGAACAGTAACAACAGAATTAATAAGAACCACAGTAAAAAGCTACCATTTAACAGAATGCTAAAGTACTGTGCTACGCCCCTGTAGGAGATGTCTTCCTTGATCACAGTTACTTCATTCCTGTTATACTTTCCTAGAGAGAGAGAGAAATCTCTCTTCTTTTTTACTTTGGGCTTGGTCATTTGTCTTATTTATAGGCATGATTTATGCCATCTCTAAACAAAATCTCAAATGTGCTTTCAGAAATGGCTGGAGGGAGGGGGTGTGTGTGTGTGTGTGTGTGTGTGTGTGTGTGTGTGTGTGTGTGTGTGTGTGTGTGTCTGAGCTGTTTTCAGACACACTGGCATGGCAAGACCACAATGTCTGAGAGAAGAGGAAGAAATGGGATGAGGCTCCAATAGCCCAGATTCCCACCAAAAACATGGACAGATCACAGCTCTGGGAGGAAGAGCTCTACAGACAAGGATGAGGCAGAGGGATTCACAGGGCAGAGCACTGAAGCAAAGGAAGCTGTCAGAGACAGCACTTGATAGCTGAATGACAAGCTATGCACGCACAGAACCTCCACATAATCAAGGAGTCATAAACTACAAAATCCCAAGTTTACAAAGGAAGTCACTCCAGATCTGATTCCTGCAGAGGCAGAGGGGATTCAGTACAGACCTGAGAGAGGCCACCTTAGTAGCAGGGCTCACCCTATAATAATGTCTGCTGTCTATCTGCCCCAGTGTAACTTTAAAGCAGACCTTGTAAACCCAAGTTAATCCATAAATAATTGCCCACAAGCATGAAGTCCAACATTCTTTTTCTTTTTTTGGTATCAGGGATCAAACTTGGGATCTTGTGCTTTCAAGGCAGGCAGTGGCACCACTGAGCTTAATTCCCTGGCCCAGGTTCAACATTCTTATAGAAATAACAACTGAGTCCCCCCTTAACTACATTGCACTTTCAGTGTCTAGCAACCAGCCAAACTCTGAGTTTGGAATATTTGATCTTATTGAAAAAAATCTATGACATTCTATTTACTTTAAATAGTTCACTATCTCACAAGTTTTCAAGTTCTTCAAATAATCTTTATAAAACTAATAAATAAAGTGTATAAATTTGGTAACAAGTTTTTTTAAAAAATTCAAATAATATATACAAATTTAGTAAAATTTCTCTTTAACAATCTTGAGAAAAATTAATTATAAATTTAAAAATGGAATTGGAGGGCTGGGGACTTAGCTCAGTGGTGATTCTGCCTGCCTTGCAAGCATAAGGACCTGAGTTCGATCCCTGGTACCAGAAAAAAAAATGGAATTAGATATGGGCTATGTTTCAAGTATATAAGTATGTGCTGCCTCTTTAGCATAAAGCTATTAATTCCATGAATTTGATTTGAAAATATTTTATACTTAATTCTAAATGTCTCTATGGTTCAAAGTTATATACCTTTTATTTAAACAGTTTTATCTTCCCAAAGCATTTTTGGTGATACCATTTTAGCTGATCAAAGTTTTATTATCAAGATCTCAGCCAAGACATTCCTGGGATTCTTTCTGATAACTCTAATATATTCTGTGTTTAGTATGGACATAATAACTTAGAGACAGAGTTGATCTCACAGTCCTTGTAGCTGATTGCCTTAAAGTCAGAGGTCGTGTTTTTCTATTATCTCACGTCTTGCTCCCACTCTTTTTATTAAATTTTTATTTCTTTAGATTTTTAAGATGTTTGTTTGTTTTTTTGAAAACAGGGTCTTGCTATGTAGTTGGTCCTGAATTTACTGTGTTGCCCAGGCTGTCCTTGAACTCATGGTAATACTCTTGCCTCAACCTCCCAAGGGCTGGGATTATAAGTGTACCACAGGAGGCTAGATTCTTAAAATATTTAAAGATCTCCCACCTATGATTAAAGAAGCTTGAAATAGGAACTAAAATTTTTGCTTTTTCCCATCAGGTAGAAACAAACACTTATAGCTATTAAAATAATATATAAGCATATTATATTTTCATGTTTCTGTCTGGATTTACCATAACATTCAAAACAATTACACTGACAGAAATCACTTTTACATTTTCTTTCATTTAAAGGGATATGACTATTGCTACATTTAGTGTAACTTTTCCATTATATTTTAAAATATGAAAGAAAGTATTTGTTGAATAGATTCCCAGATCTTGTAAACCATTAGCTAATGAGAAGTAACATCTTGATGAAGAAGCATTCCTACCTCCTAAAAAAATTTTAAGTTGCCAACAATCTTTCTTCTGGACAACAGAAAACTAAAAGAACTGAAACCACCAAATGCAAAGGAAAAGAACTATGCTGCCAACTCCATTCACCTCAGATTTCATTCTCAGGTCAAGACAGGAAGACCATGCCAGGCTTTGAAGGTACCCTCGACATTACATCCCTGGGAGTACACCTGGAACTGAAAAAGCACCTGCCACCCCACCCTCAATCACTGCCCTGTATTTCCAAAGAAGAGAAACTAAAAATAGTGAGTGGTCTGTTAACACGTAATCCAGGAATTCTAGATGTGTGCCCAAGAGAGTCGGAAACAAACACGAACTTCAAAATTTGTACACAAATGTTCATAGTAGCATTATTCATTATTCATAACAGCCTAAATAGGAAAGGGACCAGATGTCTGTCAAATGGTAAGTGGATAAACAAACTTAGTATATACTCACATGAAAGAGCATTATTCAGTCATATTATTAATCCATACACTGAGATACTATTCAGTACTTAATAAGATTAAGTAGTGATCTATGCTACAATACAGATAAACTTTGAACACATTATGCTACATGAAAGGAACCAGACACCAAAGGTCCCACATTGTATAGCTTCATTTACATGAACTTTCCAGAACAGGCAAACCCAAAGCAACAAAAAGTAGATGCATGGTTGCAGGAGTGAGAGAGGATGGAATGAGCAGCACTGCTAAGGGCACAGGGTTGCTTCTGGGGATGATGAAAATGCTCTGCAATTAGGTCATGATGATGGTTTCACAGTGTTACGAATATGTCAAAACCAACAAATTATTCACTTTAGAAAGTGCATGGTATTGGCTTACAGTATATCCAAATTTTTAAATTTTTGATGGAAAATAAAAGAGAGAGGTTTGTTGTGTCAGTCAGCTTTCCTGTTGCTGGGACAAAGTATCCAACACCTGCAACTAAAAGGAGAAGAGGTTTATTTGGCTCAATTTCCAATGGGATTCAGTCCCTGATCACTGACTCCAAAGCAGAAACAGCACAGCAGAAGGGCTGGCAGAGGAACACTACTCACACCACGGTGGCCAGCAAGTAGAGAGAAATGGGAGGAGCTGGACAGGAACACAGCCTCCCAGGTCACAGCCCTATGACCCAACTGCCACCTGGGAAGCTAAGACTTCTGGGGGACATTTTAGATCTAAACCAGAACATCTATGTTCTTTAAAAATGCCATTGTCAAAGAAGCACATGCAGAAAAAGAGAAAATATAAAGCAAATGGGGTAAGGTTAATATTTGGTGAATGTTAGTAAAGGATATGTAAGGTTTTTTTCTACTATTTTCCTTTTTGCAACTATTTTATAATGTTATCTCCAAATAATAGTTAAACATTAAAAAAGGGGAAACTATGATAAAACCTAAACCCTCAAACTATAAATGTGTTGTATGTCAATCTGTTTTACAGATGGCACAAAATTACTTTTAGAAAACCACTAATGGCACAATCAGCAAGGAAAACGGCCAATTAAAAGCCAAGTACAAGCTTTAATAATATTAAAACATACAATAATGTCTTCTAAATGAAACATGTTTAAAAGATCCTAGCTAAAATAATATTCTGTATTAAAATCTCACTACTGTGGGTGTGATGGTAAGTGGATAATGGCCCACAGAGCTGCTGAGAACCTGTGAATGTTACCTTATGCAACCAAAGGGCCTTTGCAGATGGGACTACACCATGGATTTCGAGATGAGTGTTGCTCATATCCTGGATTATTTGTGTGAGCCCTCAGTGCAATCATAGCTGTAATCAGAGGTGTCTGTATAAGAAGGAGGCAGGACAAGATTTGGCTACAGAAGCAGAGACTGGAGTAATGTGCCTGACTGAGGGACACCACAACCACCACACAGGAGAAAGACGTGGAATGGATCCTCCCAGGCCTCCAGAAGGAATCCCTTCCACCAAGACCTGGATATTAGTTCTCTTGGTTCATTTGGCTTCTAGCCTCCAGAACACTATGAAAACACATCTCCATTGTCTTAAGCCATAAAATTTGTGGTGATTTGTTACTGTAACAAAATGTGAATACAGGTATATGTAGAACTTTTTGGATCTTTAAGCCCAGTAAATGTACATTAGCACTCATCTGTGTGCTACAGGCAAACATGTAGCTAAAGTGGTTCAAACTGCTGACTCCACTTCCCTGTCAAACATAATCACCTTCTTTGGAATTCATGACTTTACCTCTTATTACACTGTTGGTGACATTTTTCATCTATTATATAATTTCATTAATAGCATTCATCATTCTCCAAATTCTTCAGAAATAGGAGCTATAATGAGTGACAATTTTTATGTATTAGCTGTTTCTGTGTGGACAATAGCAATAGGCACTGTATACTGCATTTTTTTCTAAATGCCCATTAATAACCATCACAATTTCTCAGGAAATGATATTCCAGACATCACTCTAACCAAGGTGGTGCAGTGCTGAAAACCACTCATTCATGGTGACATCATTTAGGCTCATTTGGATTCTACCCACAGCCACGCATCAAGGCAGTGATGGTC